TTAAACTGCCAGAATTTTAAAAGACGATATCTCCATTTGCATTGAACTTTCAGCTTCGTAACTTTGCAGATATTGTTTATGCTCAAACAGCAACATTACCCACTAACTAACGTTAAAAAAGTGAAATTGCAATCAACCACCCCTTTAATATAGGCTGTGAGTCTTAGGTGACCGCTACTGGGGAAGTATGGTACTTTCCATTGGGCAGCATCAAAAGAACTGGAATGAACTAGTGAACTTTGGGTGACTTCCAAGAATATGTCAAGGATGGCACAAACAAGTATGATGAATGGCCATAAGGACACCTGCATCTAGGGAGAGAGGATGAGACTAAAGTTGAAATGGAAAATGGTTCAAACCAGCGGGAGTCTACGATTAGAAAGTAAACCAAGAGGAGTATGAATTAATTGTAGCAAAACTAATGGGGTAAAACCAATCAGAGGCCGAGTTGTCAATTTTTGGTTAAAAAGACTGATAAGAACAAGGTGTAAGTATGGCTGCCCGGACAGACAAAGACTCAGATGCGGCGGCTGTCATCACGGCTTTGTTGCTGTGTTCAATAAAGTCTTATTTTGGCATCTGGAACTCCGTTTCTAGAGTTTTATTTTCGACTTTGAGAAGACCATTGTTTGTCCCACAACAGTTTAAGTAAAAGTCACATGATCATTGTTTAACATACTATAACCTCCAAGAAACACCTCATACATAGCCACTCTCAGGTATAAGGGGCTTTCCTTGCCATTAATGCTTGGATAACGCCTTACTTACACTGCACACATCTGTGGTGCATCACGGCTCCGACACGGCCACCGGAGCTGATACGTTTCCCTCTGATTAAAAATAATGGCTAGTAGGGCTGAGTAAATAATATCAATTTCTCGATTTTAATCGATTCTTATTTTGATGAAACTATTGATTCTTAAGTGTTTGTATACAAATGAACTATTTTTAACCTTCAATATTACAGTAATATAGTACCAACTGACTCCCATGTATATACAACATTAGTCGAGATTAGGGATGTAATGATTAACCGCGAGCCGGTTGAAAATCGATTTAAATATGTGACGATTCAAATCGGTTGAAATGATAAACAAATCGTAAAAAGTTTAGATAGTATTTTTTCTTTTCCTCTTGCCTCTGTATAATGCATATTAAAGTTCATAAGTGCAGCGCTGCTTTACTTACAGCGGAAATCAAGGAAACGCTTTAAGCGCCACCTGCTGGCAGAGAGTGAAACTGCGTCTCGTTCAGCTCGTCTGCTGTTTCTGTTTCATGCAGATATTTTTTATGCATAGTTTCACAAAACTGAAGTCAAATAATTCTGTTTTTGCTTCAAATTTCGAAATCATACAATCTAATTTAGATTAAAAACAGCTCATGTTGCATGTATGCAATTATTATATTTCAATTTAACAAATGTGCAGCATTTTGTCCAAGCAATAATAAAAGGACACATTTAATTTATAATTTGTCTTAAATCTTATTTTGTAAAAAAAAAATCATGAATCGAATCGTGACTTGAGTGAATCGTTACATCCCTAGGCAAGATTATTTTTCCTTGAGAACATTTTCAATGTACTGTACCTGATGTTTATCCAAAATAATCGATACTGAATCAAATCGAAATCGAATCGAATCGCAAGCTTATAGAGCATAATCGAATCAAATTGTGAAATTTGTCAAAACCCAGCCCTAATGACTGGTGCGGTGGCTGTGAGGTACATAAACTTAACAACATCCGAGGAAAAATTATGTTTTAGTCGCATAACATTAGTTTTTTTAATCAATATTTATAAAATATTGCAAAGGTTTTGCACAAATCTGTAGTGGAAACTAGGGGTGCTCCGATTGATCGGCTACCGATCACTATCGGCCGATAATCGCTTTGGGATGATTGATCGGCGGTCTCTAAAAAGGCCGATCTCATAAACCGATCTCAAGCTGATGACGTGCCAGCTGTGAGAGGATTGGCACGACATGCAGCGGCACCGTCTCAGTCTCTGTCCAGCGCGGGTAAAATAATTATAATGCTGAGGGTGAGGTACGTAAGCCGGTTAGTTTGTCATTCGCATTTCTATTCGCATCTATTACTGTTTTCTTTTTCTCTCGCTCCGTTTTTCACGAGTTCATCAAACAACAGTGGTAAGTCAGAATCATTCATCAATCACGGTAAGAAATGGCTTCTTCTCCTGCTATTGTTGTTTGCACCCATGCAGCCTCATGTCACTTGGAATCTGCTGTGGAGCAGAATTATTATTTACAATTATTTTAATTTCTTCCTTACAAGTTTGTTTTATGCACTGTTCTTATAGGCCTATAGGTATGCTTGGACTGTTGGGGAAAACTCAAATAAATAAATAAAAAAATACATTAAAAAATAAATAATGATTGTGTAGAAATGTCATCTTAGGGTAGCTTCTTCATCTTAGCTTGTCATTTAGAAACATTCAGACGGTTTGATTTAAAGCATCTATTATTTAGCAGTTTCTTATAAAGTTACTGGCTGTTTTTTTTTCCCTTGCCACAGCCTTTTAAATGAAGAACAAATATAGACAGCATGCAATAACTAACAAGCTGTCAATGGTCCAAACATTTTATTATTGTGTTACTTGACTGATGTTTACTACATATAACTTGGTTATTGCTTGATTCAGCATTTACTGTTGTATACAGTTACTGAATGTGTGATGTGTCAAATAAAACCATTTTCCAAATAAAATACATTCTTCTATATCATTCATTTCTGTAGAGATGGACATTTTAATAAGTATCAAATGAGTGAGTTCAGCTTTGAGAATGAAAACCAACCTGTTTGTTCCTCAGTATCTTCATGTTTGACTCTGAATGCTTCTTCAATCTTCATGTCTTCACTTTCCACTTTAATAAATACCATCTTTATAATCGTGTCACGTGGATCTCAGTTGCTTCACCAGGAGTTTTTCTGTGTTTGGACAATTTGTCATATTTAAGATGAGAATGATCAACAGAACGAAAAATAAATCCAAAATATATCTCTAAAATTATCTAAATGTAGCTAAATATATAATAAGTGTCCTTATATAATATAAGTGTCCTTATTGTAATAGGATACATTACACTTTCATGAAAACATCTGAAGTTTGTTTGGAGAAGTTTGAAGTTACACGTTTGTGTTTATATTTTGAGCAGCGAGCGGTGAATCGAGCGTTTCGAATCACTGAATCATTTTACAACTGATTCAGTTGACCCTGAGTTTCGAACAGATGCGTTTCTCCATCACTGCTTGCCAGTGACTGGATTTATGTTTCTGATAAACTGAGCGAAATAAGACGCACCTTTCCTGTTATTCATGCGCCTTACACAAAATAACCTTCATTAATGTCACTAGGTAAGCAGTTTTACATTCACTAATAATTCATTTCAGTTTTATGCAATACAATTCTCTCAACAAGTTCTTTTTCTCTCTCTCTCTCTCTCTCAATAAGTTGTACTGATTCAAACTCTTGAAATGATTAAAAGCACACACCTTTCTTCAGCCGAATCACAGACGCAGCCTTATGACGTCATAACCACAGACCGAAATAAAAGTCTTGTCTACACGCCAAAATAAAAGCATTTTACATTAGAAAACAAATATAAATAATAACGTATATAATTAATTGGAGAGATGAACTGCACAAGCTATCAATACCGCTGAGCTTAGATATCTAGTTTATATCTAAATGTAAACAACTGTGAATGAGTAATTAAGATAAACTCCAGTATCTTGGTCTTCAAATTACAGGACTACAAAGAACTTCTGAATATTTCAAACTCATAAAGAGTTTGTGAATCCAAATTAAATTTGTGGCTGCAGAGAGATTTAACTGTTTATTAACTGAAACTGAATCCTTATGACAAATTGTATTCATCTGACTACATCTGAGTTTCTCCCCAGAACATAAAGACAATAAATCTAATTTCAGCTTTATTTCGTTAAAGTGGATTTCATTAAAGGTCCATGACTGAAGAACACGTGCTGAAAATGAACAATTCTTCTGTAAGGACTGGATGGAAAGGATAATATGGTCTGTATTTGAGCTTATAGATTTCAGTGGTAATGTTTTTTTATATTAGCAGTTTTGTTTAAAATCGTTTTTGCAGTATAATGGAATACTTAGTTAACTAGTAGTTTACTAGTCTTATACTGCAAGTGTACGTGCAAGTGTTCTGTTAGTGTACTCTTAGTTTACTAGTCTTATACTGCAAGTGTACGTGCAAGTGTTCTGTTAGTGTACTCTTAGTTTACTAGTCTTATACTGCAAGTGTACGTGCAAGTGTTCTGTTAGTGTACTCTTAGTTTACTAGTCTTATACTGCAAGTGTACGTGCAAGTGTTCTGTTAGTGTACTCTTAGTTTACTAGTCTTATACTGCAAGTGTACTTGCAGGTGTTCTGTTAGTGTTCTCTTAGTTAACTAGTAGCTTACTAGTCTTATACTGCAATTATACTTGCAAGTGTTCTGTTAGTGTACTCTTAGTTTACTAGTCTTATACTGCAAGTGTACGTGCAAGTGTTCTGTTAGTGTACTCTTAGTTAACTACTAGTTTACTAGTTTTATACTGCAATTATACTTGCAAGTGTTCTGTTAGTGTTATCTTAGTTTACTTGTAGATTTCTAGTCTTATACTGCAAGTGTTCTGTTAGTGTACTTAGTTTACTAGTCTTATACTGCAAGTGTTCTGTTAGTGTTATCTTAGTTAAGTAGTAATTTACTAGTCATACTGCAAGTGTACTTGCAAGTGTCCTGTTAGTGTATTTTTAGTTAACTAGTAGTACTATTTATTTATTATTTTTGCACTTTAAGTACACTACAATGTTCCTATGTACCTATAAATTTTTATACTTGACATATACCTTTTAATTGTACTTTGAATTTAAAGTTAAATCTTATGGATGCTATCAGTGGACTACACAAAAAAAAATCACATACTCAGAATTACAAACATAAATTTTCTTTATAAATCCATTATTCCTTACAAATCTTTTGTACTGGATTCCACATAAACATAAAATAACAATGACAGTCAAATTTACACCCCAGTTCACAAAGCTGTAAACACAATGTTTAAAGGGGTCATATGATGCGATTTAAATTTTTCCTTTCTCTTTGGAGTGTTACAAGCTCTTGGTGCATAAAGAAGATCTTCGACGCGTTTCAAAAAGGCGGGGCATAGAGGAGAAACAATAATGTACAGTATGTGGAAAATAATGTGTTTTTTGAACTTTAAACCGCATAAACACATTTCATTACACCAAATACACAAAATGTTATTTTTAGCAGAATCATATGACCCCTTTAAGGTAGGGTTATGCAAGAAATCAGTCCCTGGAGAAAACACAAAAAAGGAAATCCAATAATTGTTCAAATATATGACAACAACAGTTCTATTCATATGGGTTTCTTTGCAGTAGCTTGCTTGATGTAGCTTTCGTTGTTGCATTTTTTCCTTATGATGCATCTCACATCTTGCATCGTGAAGTCAGAAAACTTTGACAGCGCATGGTCTGTGAATTAACACATTAACACACACACACACACAGAGAGAGAGAGAGAGATAGAGAGAAAACAAAAATATTTTTTCTGTCACCCCAAAGTCATCATCCAGAATTAACACAATAAAACTGTCAAAGCAGCATGTAGTCCCTAGTGAAAAATAAATATACTTAATTGTATTTAAAATATATTTATTTCATGATAAGTATACTAAAATAGATTGACGTGTCTATACTAACTGAAAATAAACTCTAGTTGTAGCTATTTCATGCTTTCATCAAGCACAAACTTAGTGCACTACAAATTAATTTGTAAAATACTATACTTTTTACAAATGCATTTGGGGAAGGATGAAATATATATATTCATCCTTAAGAAAGTACACTGGCTTGGTTCTTAATTCCATCTACACGTTTAATTTTTTTTTTTTTACGTTTAAAAAAAAGAAGAAAAAAAGTTTTTTTTTAACATGTTTTTAAAAAGTGATTTTCAAAAACTTTAAATATGACCTACACACACACCCATATAAACCAACTGGATGAAACCTTTGAAAGAGGATGCTCACTTCATAACCCCAATGACATGTCCATACTCACTCAGCCCAACAAATTAGTCTCGGTAAGGGATGAATGAAGCAACTCATCCTATGATCCTGTAGCTGTATGAAGGCCATATTAATGTATGGCTGTGGGGATTGTTTGTATTGTATGTTGTCATATTATTAAGGCTGCTGTATGAGTTCTCACCTAAGATTATGGCACAAGAGACAACATCACATTCTGTGTATTGATATTTGTTTGTTCCTTCGCCCCTTAAAAGTGTTTTAAGTAATGTGATTTTAACCTCGGCCTAAATATAGGCTACAGTATGTTCAGTGAAGGGGGCTTGATAAGTCCGTTTCTCCTCACCTAACTTTCACAAGTTGTGAAATTCACCAATAATCAATTTTGCTGTACTTTTGCTAAACATCTGAACTC